TTGTGCAACTATTATGTGCTTATAAAAAATTAAAAAGTAATAAAATATCTTTAAAAATAAGAATAATATATTCATGTATTGTTTAATGCCATGGATATATGCTGAGAAATGTGTATTACATGATTTCACAATTGTGCAAACAACACAGATTATACTTACACAAACCTAAATGGTGTAGGTCAATATTCAACATGGCCACTTGATGCAATTAAGAGGCATGGTAAAAGCAAAGTATTTTAGGCTGCTGCTGGAATAACCTGGCATACTGTTTTATAGTAAACTTTTTTTAAAAGTGGAAGGAGTGAACTTTAAAAGAATGATAAATTATAGCATATTGAATACATAAATCAGTAAAATCATCATTTATCATCAAGTATTTGGTATATATAGTTGTATGTGGCTATACTTTTGTTTGATTGCCAGAAAGTAAGTTTGTTTACATCAGCATCACCCCAACATGTGTAATGTTTTGTACTATGATATCACTAGGTGATAGAAACTTTTTTATTAACTCCATTATAATTTCATGGGACCACTGTTGTATATGAAGTCTTTCATTGACCAATATATCACTGTGCATGTGGGACTTTATGAAAGTAGTGTTTACCTTATGGTTGTATTACAAGGTAGTGCATGAAAATAACATCTTTCCTGGCACTCAGTAAATTTGTCAAGATCGCCATTAAACTACATTGCCAAATCCAAGAATCAGTTCTCATTCTCAATCTCATGAAGTCCATCAGTAACTTTTAATACAGGTTAAACTCTTCTCCTTGAAATAGTCTCTTCACTTGGCTGTGGGATATCACTTACTCTTGGTTCTCTTCATTAGTCTTTTCTACTACATTCACCTAATCTTTTAACCTCAAAACTTTGCAGTTTCTAAAGTGCTCCTTTCTTGGACTTCTCTGATAAGTAATCTCATATAGCCCCATAGTTTTAAATGCTAGATAGAGGCTAGAATTATAAAATTTATAAATCAGTCAAGGCCAACTCTGAACTCTATATATACTTTCATTTCTAGCTGTGTACTCAACATTCGTAAACAGATGTTTAGTAAGGAATTCAAATTTAAAACATCCAAAATTTAGCATTTTACTTGCTTTCTCACAAATCTGCTTCTCGAACCATATTTTGTCCTGTCTCAGTAAATGTTAACCCCGTTCTCCCAGTTTTTCAAGTTAAATAGTCTCTTTGCATTGCATAATCAATCCATTTAGGAAATTAGGTCAATTATACCTTCAAAATTATTCAGAATCCAATCGTTTCACCCCTACCACTGCTATTATGCAAATTAAAACCCTCAGCATTTCTCCTGGAGTGCTGCAATTGCTTCCTAACTAGTATCCCTGCTTCCATACTTGTTCTTTTGGTTGCTTCTTTCCATAGCTAAACATGATTTTATTAAAAACATAACATGTCACATCTTTACTCAAAATTGTCTGGAAGCTTCTCAGCTCACTTAAAAGCCAAAATCTATCTGGGTGCTGGTGGCTTAAGCCTGTACTTCTAGCTACTCGGGAAACAGAGATCACAAGGATCATGGTTTGAAGCCAGCTGCAGGCAAATAGTTTGCAAGATCTTATTTCAAATATACCCAACATAAAACAGGGCTGGTGGAGTGGCTCAAGGCTCAAGTGGTAGAGCACCTGCTTAGCAAGCATGAAGTCCTGAGTTCAAACCCTAGTACCACCACAAAAAAAGACAAAATCTTTACAATGGCTCTCTTTGACCTAGCCTAATCATGTCTGATGTCAGTCACTGCCCCCCACATCTTGTTTACTTTGTTCCAGCCATATTGGTTCCCCAGACATGCATTGGGTCTATTACAGTAGTTGTCAGCTTATCTTGAAGCCATTTTCCACAACATCTGCAGGCTATACACATACATCTCTCTCAGTTCTTTGCTTACATATTACCTTTCCAGAAGGCTTTACCTGGTCACCCCATTTAAAGTTGCAGGTCACCTAAATAACTCCATATGCTTCTCTCTGCTTTATTTTTCTGCATACTAATTGCTACCATTTAATAATATCTATTTTGCTTAAGTTATTATCTGTTTCACCCATTTTTGGTCCATGTTGGCAGAAATTTTTATGTCTTGGTGACTGCTATGTTCCTGATACCAAAATTAAGTTTATTAAATGACTAATTTTTTTACTTTAATACTTTACCAGGTGCTACACAGTTTTTGCCTGACCCCAAACTCATGGATCATGGGCAGTCCCATCCAGAAGATGTAGATATGTACAGCACTAGAAGCTGAAATAGACTGCATAGAGAGCCACAAGATGTGTGAAGTTGCAAAATAATGATGAAAATAATGCAATGGGGAATTGATGCATAAAGTTTAACTTGAGGTTTTTCCTTGACATCTTCAAATGTACAGTCACACAGTAATTAGAACACAAATTGTGAATGCAGTCTAAACAATATTGAATGATTGATGAGGCAACACAAGTAGAAGTATGATGTATTTGATTACTTGTAGGGGCATTTACTAGAAAGCAAAACAGAATGAAGATAAGAACATCAATGAGACTAAATATGAAAATATGTTTATTCATATATACCTATGTACATATGTATATGCTCCACTTCACCAAATTAATGTCAGTTAAATTAGAATGGTATATGGAAGATTGTATTCTCTGTTTTTTCACTTCCCTAAGCTGAAATAAAATATTCATATTGTGTGGCACATGAGCTTGGTTTTGTCTCATTGTTGAATTGTTAATTCCTCTTAAATGTCTGAATACATCTTGATTTGAGTGGACAATATGAGCCCCTTGATGCTGCTTAGCAATCCTTCTAGTGGTTCCTAAGTTGTTTGTTCCTCTGTTCCCCAGAAAAGGTATTACAAAGCTTTCATTCTTATCAAGCCTTTTACACCTGTCAAAGTTAACTGTGCTTCCTTTTTCATAGGACAAAAAACTACAATTATTAGACATTACCATTCCCTACTACTTCCCATCTGCCTTATAGGCTTAACTCTTTTCAATCATGTATTCCCTTTCCTGAGAATAATGTATCTATTTGGATTCCTGATCTCATTCCTTCCCATCTTCTATGACCATATTCCATCTTGTCTAATCTCCAGTTTTTGGTTTTCGCTTTTCACTCATTTGTTTTCCTCAACCTCTGAATAACTTCAACTTTTACATGTCCAAAAGCAATAATAACAAAAGACAAAACTCTAGTTCTTCCTTCAAGTTGTCTTTTCTGTTGCGTTTCTTCCTATAATTTCCATGCATCTTTAAAAAGTAATTAATGTCCCTTTCTTATTTTGCTTTCAATTTTTCCCTGAGACATCCTGGCTTCTCTCCCTACTTCACCCCCTCCTTGAAAGTCATTCCTCCCATTCTTTTCTGTTATTCTTGCTTCTCTTGTTAATTCTTCATTCTTCTCTTGCTCTGAATCTCTCAAATGCTGAGACTCCTCAGCTTCTATCCTTTGTGATATTTTCTTATTCTATATGCTATCCTTTTCATTCAACCAACTTTACTGGTTTCAGCCACCATTTATATGTTGTTGTTATTATTTTAGCACCCATATTTCCAATTATTCATTAGCTATATCCACTTAACATCCCAAATTGTGTCTTCCTCCCTGTCATTTCTCAAATCTATTCTGCCTTTTCTGATACAGTTATGGCTCTTGTTCATACGTTTATTGTACTTTGCTGGGTTTACATTAGCTTCCTAGCTAATCTGCTCACTATTAATCTTGCTTTCTCTTATTTCACAATGTGTTTTTTTTTTTTTTACAAATGATCCAGATAGCACTAGCTTAAACAAATGAGGATCTGTTTAAGTCCTGGAATTAGGCAGTTACAGGGGTAGTACAATGGTTTATAAGTACCATAAAGGGCCTAGACTTTTTCACTTTACACTCTGGTCTCTGTAGCACACTGATTTGTCACCTCATGGTCACAAGATGGCTGCTGTATATCAGAGAAGCACATACACATTCAAATAAGAAGGGGCAGGGGGAAATGTAAAAGATGCTCCTGACTCTTTATCGGAAAAGTAAATGTTTTCTTTAATCTCCTCAGAACACCTCTACGTATATCTAAACCAGAATTTCTTTTTATAGCCATACATTTAATTCAAGGAAGATAGGGAAAATGTTTTTTCCTGTGGTAAAGGAAAGGAATAAGTAGTTGGAAATAGATGTTGGGTTTGTTCTAATGTATTGTATCTGCTACCAGATTCTGTCACATAGTTGTCTTACAAATACTAATAATTAGTTGTCTTTCTAAAATCTTCAGTAGCTCATCATTGCCTATGGAATCAAGTTCACACTCCTTAGTACAACACAAGGCCCTTCATATATAATCCAAGCTAGGATTCTAATCCTATCTTCCTTCTTACACACTCCACTGCAACGTATGTTATGTTTATGGTTTATGACATGCCACTTGCTCAATGAACATGCTTGCCCTTTATGCCTCTTGTTCTCTGCCTATGCTAATGTTTCCTATTAGACTCTCTTCCATCAAATTTTCTTTCAAACTGTAATTTCCTACCTGTTCTTCATATCAAATTCTACTGTCAGCTTTCTTGATTGTCCAAAATAGAACTTAAATTTTCTGTATTCTTCCTTGTACTTGGTATTTACAATTAATATTACATTCTCACAGACAAGACTCCTCATGGGTGTTTCTGAGTCATGCTTCTTTGTCTCTGAAATGCCTGGTACACAGCAGGAATTTGCATGGTCTGCCATGCCAGTTGTAGTTGGTTATAAAGTAATTATAATTCTATAAGGGACTTATATTCCACCAGGAAGAAGAGAAACATAAACAAGTGTTTTATGTGTTATCTGCACCATGTACAACCAAAGAGCTATAAATGTTCGGAGATAGAATGTAGTTCTAGGATGATGGCAAAAAGATAATGATACTTCAGTTGCTCAAGATGAGGAGTCAGTTCACAATATGGTAGTAAAAAAATAGCCTAAAGCCAAGTATAAGTGTTTTTTTAATAACCTACTCTTGGATTATCAGTATTCTTACTGGCTGTTAGTAAGAGTGCATACTGAAGAGCTAACTGTGTCTACAAAATATGTTTCAAAGTAAAAGATCTACAAGAATATTATGATCACTTGCTGTATTTTACAACATTCAATGTCAAACTGCTGTTGAACTCAGGTAACATTCAAATGGTGCAGCCTGTGTTGGGATGAGTTGTTATGAGGCTTTATTCATTCTTCCCTTGCCATGTCCATAAGTTCTTCTCTGTTAAATCTGAACAGATGCCATCCCTCCTCTGAGGAAAGGTCTAAGGCCCCTCGACGAGTGTAGTACTTAATAGAAGCCTGGTTCCAAATGACGACAAGAAAGTGCATGCAGTTACAATTGGTTCTGATGGCTATCTGTTTAAAAACAAACAAGCAAATATTATTTTTACTTGAAAGTATAGTTGTCATTAACATTTTTATTGGTCTACTGTATAAAAGAAATTATATATGCATAATATTGGTAAATAATGAAATATTTATCTTTTGGACTACCCTATAGTTGTGAAAAGAAAAAAAGTTCCAACGTTCTAAGCTTTAGAAATCCCTCTCCTTAAGAATACAAAATTGATTTTCAAAGTCTTTATTCTACAGAAAAAAGTTTACCTTTAAGAACAAATTTTCTCATATATTTCCTAAATGAAAAAGTACCTTCCATATTATTGTGATTAACATTATGAACCTATTTTATGGGTAAAATTGCTTCTAATATTCCTCATGCTTTTACTTAATAGCAATAAAAGCATATAGTATGGTTGTAGATTATATAGAAATCAATTTTAATTTAATGTAATACAGATTCCATATGAGTATTTGATCCAATGTGAAATTCATGTTAGGGGTTATGTTTAAGAGGTGAGATTACTTGATTTATATCCTATTAAATAATACTTGATGAAGAAAAGGATAATGCATAGACTATCAATACTAATTATAATACATACCTGACTTATCCTCCTCAGCATTTCAGCTCCAATACCTAGACCTGTTAAATAGGTATTGACAAGTTAAAACTGTAAGTTGAAAAACTCCACTTAACTAATTGTTTTAGTTTAAAAGGAAATAAAATACAAAATTCTGTATCTGGTTGTTATACAGTGTGTGCTGAAATTCAACTCATAAATACTGTTCACATATCTTTTTCCTAATTGAATGTGATGCCAAAGGTAATATAAAAGACTTTGGGTTTAAGATCAAAGAAGAAGAAATGAGTATCACTATTTTCTTACAACAGGGCACATTCTTGTATATGTCTACTAAAACCAACTTAAAATGTAAAATAATTTTTAAAGATAAATGTATAACTGTGACAGTATGGTTTAATCAAATGTCGAAGAGAACTAATAAGAAAACATTTTTCTAATCTGTGATTGAGGTTTTCTGCACTATGTTAGTGAACAGGCTCTTGAAAAAGAAATGAGTTACATAAATAAGTTAAACAATATTTATACTAAAGTCCCCAGTATATAAATTAAAATATGCCTTTTTTTGTAATGTACTTTCTTTTTTGATATTTTATGTTTTTATTGTGATGTACTTTCTATACAACAATAAATATAGAATTTTTAAACCTGTTGAAATCACCATAAGAAAGGACTAAAGTAGAAAGGAGAAAAATAGAGGGCATGAACCAATTCAGATTATAATACATATACATGGAGATGTCATAAGGAAACACCCTGTTGAACTTTCTTAAACAAACAAAAATGCCTTTAAAAAAAAAAACTGGAAAACAGGAAGGTAAAACAGATCCTGTCGGGGGATTAGTACCAGTGAGAGAGGGGAGGACATAAGAAAAGGGTGAAAAAGGCTGAATGTAGTAGAAATATTATGTACTCATGTATGAAAATGGAAAAATGAGACCTTTTGAAACTATTCCAGGAATGGGGGGAGAAGAGCATAAAGGAGACTGATGGAAAGGGTGAATTCAACTATGATATATTATAAAAACTTTTGTAAATGTCACAATGTACCCCCAGTGCAACAATAATATAATAAAAATAAAATATGCCTTTTTAATTTTTAAAATACTTGTAAGTAATATTATAATTATAGTGTTACCTCGGTAAGCCTGGATGATATAAAAGTCCTCCAAGTAAAGTAATTTGCCAACCCATGGGTCATATGTGAAATAGTACATGGCAAATCCAACAGCCAATTTTTCTAGGAAGAGAGAAGAGAGAGCACAAAGAGGTTAATGCTTTGAATCTTAAAAATTTATTTTGCTCCAAATAGGATATCTTTGGTATTTGTTTTAACTATCAAAGTAATAAGTGTTGAATGGACAAAAATATCAGTACATAAGTATATAATATAGAAAGTTTAATCCTCTTATAAAGTTTAAAAGATACTTAAGTACTCTTTATAATTTGGCTTATATTCTTCCATTTTTAATGCTTATATAAATGTAAGTACACACTACGTATTTTCTTTTCAAAAGCCACTGGGCTTACACATGTATTTTCGTGTCCTCACTAGTATTTATATGTGATATAACTGTACTTTGTTTTCAGGTTATGGAAAATATACAATAGATTAAATTGGGAAAGGAAAATTAAGTTTACCTGATGGCTTTTGTGGGTCATGTATTTCGGCAATCAGGCAGTAGAAAAGGGGATTGTCCCCAAAGCCATCCCTGAGTAAATCTGAAATATCAATTCACATACAGTATGTCAGAAATTTAAAGCAGAGAGGGGGAAGATTGAAAATTAGGAAGCACCAGAAATTCATCTTTCAACCTGGACAACAACTAACAGAAATTGCTTAAAGTGCATATTTTGGAGCTATTCAGAGGTAATTTGAACACTTGCAACTTCCTGGAGACAGTCTGGAGGGTAAATAGCAGTTAATTTAGGTCAAATTCAGCCCTAAATGTGGTACCAGCTACTCCCTCACCAGTCCCATGGAAGGCAGCTGTGAGGATGACAGCCTGCAGTTTGCTGGAGACATAGTGGGAAATAAAGATATTATTTTTAAAATATTGGAGTTATATGTTTTAACTGTGGAATGCCAATCTAATCACTGAGCTGAGGGCTTAGAGGTTGGCTGCCATTATTCTAAACCCCACCAGCTTAAGTAGCATCCAGGAAATTTAATGGAGCTACACCTGTTGGACATTCAAAACAAAATCATAGATAAAGGGGAATGTAGAGAAGCCCCATGAGTGACTGAGAAAATACACAGGCCAGACAAAACCTAAGCTTTCAACTCAGTCTGATCCCTGACATGATGCCCTACAACAATCAAAAGCTGTAAGTACTGAAAATCAAAATGCTTCAGCAAGAAATCAACAAAACATAAAAGAAGGTATTAATGGAGGAAATGAGGGATAAGAAAAAGCTACAAAGCATATAGAAAACAAATACAGAAATGGTGAGGTGAATCTTCTCATCAGTAATGTAAAAGAATTAAACACTCCATTCAAAACACAAGGATTAGCAGAATAGACAATTAAAAATAACTAACATGATTCAACTATATATTGTCTGTAAGTAGCATGCCCTAGATTCACTGAAGACAAAATTAGTTGAAAATGGAATGATGGAAAAAGATAATTTCATGCAAATGGTAACCAAAAGAGAACTAGGGTGACAATACTCATATTAGACAAAACAAACTTTAAGTAAAAAACTATTATAAGAGACAATGACATTATATAATTATGAAAAGGTCAATTCACCAGCAAGATATAGCCTTAATAAATATACGTCCACATTTGTGAGCATCACCAATCCAAAATATATGAAGCAAACACTGATGGAACTGAAGGTAGAAATATAGAGCAGTACAAGAATACACTATAATACCCTATTTTCAATAATGTGTAGAGCAAACCAACAGAAGATAAATAGGGCAATATATGACTTGAACAACACTACAGACTTATTGGACCAAACAAACATACAAAACACTACCCCAAAACTAATACAGAAACCTTAAAGCGACAGAGGTTAACATGAGAAGGGGATTAGGAACCAGTGTAAAGATCAGTTAGAGGGCTGGGGATATAGCTTAGTGGTTTAGTGTTTGCCTTGCATGCATGAGGCCCTGAGTTCAATCCCCAGTACCACAAAAAAAAAAAAAAAATCAGTTAGAGATGAATCAACTTGGGTTGTAACACATTTG